AGGAACTGACCTCCAGGCCAATTGGCTGTGAGAATCAGCTGTGCCTATGGTGGGAGAACTTCTGCGCTGGAGACACCCTTATGGGGAAGACTTGTTTCAGTGGGGCTTTGGTGCTCACTGAGTCTGCCCCCTGAGTGTGTCCCTTATGGATCTGAGGAGTTGTAATCTGGATGGTCCCACTCTGACCACTGGGTACACTGGCTCTTGGATCTCTAAGGAGGTGCTAATTTAGCCTCTGCCTGAGGCTACCCAGCAGGAGCTACAGAGAGATCAGCAGATTCCTCTTCTTTGTTTGGGGTTTGGAGATGCCCAGATGAGGCCCAGCTGAGAAGCAATGCAAGCTGCTGTGGGACCTTGGGCCTTCTTTTGGAAGTTCTAGGTCTCTCTGACCCAGCTGCAGTTTGTTAGGTAATTTTAGATTGCAAAGGGCCTGGCCATTCATATGCAAAAGCCTCTGCTCACAGCTTGGGTGGGGCGGGGTCTCAGGGGATCAACAGGGTAGAGCAAGCAGCTATGGCTGATCCTCAGCCCTGCCCTAAGAGGCCCTGGATCTCGGTGTCCCAAGGTAATTGCTGCAAGCACCTCTGAGAGAAAGTTGCCCTCAAGTTCTTCCCGATGCCAGACAGTCCAGTTTCTCCCCATATGAGTCTGGGTCCTCAGAGACTCACCCGGAACTGGAGTCCATAGCATTCGGGAGCTTGTGACTTCCTCCCCATTGAAAAAGACAACCCCGTCCTCAGTTGCCAGCCCTTTCCACATGTGCCTCCTTACCGCTGCACTTTACTTCTGCACCTCCTCTAAGTCTCAGTGTGCTTTTCTCTTTCCTTCCAGTTGTAGAGTTTCCACTCAGCCAGCCTTCCTGTGGTTCTGGATGATGTCCGTTTTGTCTTTTAGTTGTAGTTTTGAAGTGGTTGTGCGAGGCAGGAATTTCCGGTGTTTACCTATGCTGCCATCTTGGTTTCTCCCCTAAAGACTTTCTTTAAAACTCTCCAAGGCCTGTAGGACCCAAGCAGATGGCATCTGGCCTCAGTGTGCCCTAAACCTGTTGCTGAGCAGCCTAAGGACCAGCACTTCTGGCAACCGAAATGAGTTCCAGCATGTCCTCTTTCACACACCTCCGGGCCCAACAGAGGAAGCTACCAATTGTGAATAGCTTTGTTGCTCCTACCAGGTAGCCCCAAACCTGGCACAGGAAGTAGCTGACACTGGCCTGCAATAAAGCCCCTTCAAAAGGTCCCAGAACCAATATGCTCAGTGGTCTGCTTCAGACCACAACAGAGCACCACAAATGACACACCCAAGGAGTTGTCACAACAAGCACCAGAGCCCCACTGGGACAAATGGCACTCCATGGGGTCAGCTCTCACACAGAAGCTCACATGCTGTGGTCATGGCCAGTCCTCATAGCTAGTCAGCCTTAGGGTCAAAACCCACCCACTGACATGCCAATGGTAATCAAGCATAAACTACCCACACAAAAGGCACTCCTGGAGCACCCAGATCAAGTGACTAGGGCAACTGTGTCACTGGACCCCTCTGGACACCTACTACATAAGGCCACCGTGCCAAGACCAGGAGGTGTAGCAAATTAACCTAATAATAGAAATAAACACAGAGAGGCAGCCAAAATGAAGAGACAAAGAAACATATCCCAAATAAAAGAACATAAGAAAACTTTTTTAAAAAGAGCTAAATGAAATAAAGGCAAGCAAACTATCAATGCAAAGTTCAAAACATCGGTTGGAAGAATGCTTCATGAATTCCAATCTAGATGGTGTATAGGTAAATGTGGTACTTGAATACTCCCACAACCACATCAACATTGCAACTAAACTACAGAACAACCATCATTCAGAGCCACCAGAAATCTAGTTTAACAGAGATCCTATAACAAAGGATATAAAGAAGCCAAATCAAGACTGGTAGGAGAGGAAGCAATGCAAAATGGGCTGGTCCCACACCAATGTGTGTCAGTTAAAAATCAGGAGGAATTTCTTGAATGTAGAGGTCCCCTTGAAGAGCAATGGGTCCTAGCCCCACACCAGACCCCTCAATCCAGGGTTCCAGTGTCAGGAAAAGAAGTCCCCATAACTCCTGGCTGTAAAATACGGCTTAAATTGTGGCTGAGTGAGACAGAGTGCTGCTAAAGTCCCAGGCAATCCTCTTAAAAAACCCACTCATGGACTTACAAGAACTTAATTAGCTCTGAGCTCCAGTGCTGGGGCACCAGGGACATATAGGAAAGAAATAAGTAGCCTGACATTGAGGCAACAGCTGGATAGGCAGCTTTCTCCCACACAGAAGTTCTGGCAGAAGCCATTGTTTCTTTTGTGGGCCTTCCCTGTTCACCCTGCCCTGGTGATTCCCTAAGACACTGCCCCAAACAACTTGAGAGCCCAACACACTCCATTTCCAGTGGCTTTTCCACACAAATGACTTGTCTTGGCTTATAATGTGGACTTTAAAAGATCTCTCAAACACATAGCATCTAGCATCAGCATGCCACATACCTCTTGCTAAGTGACCCCAGGCCTGGCACTAGCAACAGCTGGCCATGATTCATAGCATGGCTTCTCCTGGACACCTCCAAGCCCATCAAAGTCATAGCCATCTGCAATTCACTTTGTAGTTCTTGCTGGTGGCCCCGGGCAGGGCACAGGCAGTGGCTGACCTTGGCCTGCACCTCCACAGAGGCCCCAGAGCTAGAGCACCTGGTGCACAGCTTCAGACCTCAAAGCACCAACCAGTCTCCTCAACAAGGGACACACTAAAGTGGTGGACTCAGAGGCACCAGAACCTCGCTGAAGTAAATTCTGTTCAGTGGGGTCAGCCCCTGCATAGCTGATCCTCCACAGTGGTTGCAGACCATTCTCACAGCCAATCAGCCTCTTGGAAAATCACTTCCATTGAGGTGCCAACAGCAGTCAAGGCTCAACTACAACAGGAAGGTGTACACAGCCAATACAGGGGGTCATAGCTAGAGTGCACAACTAGGGTGATTGGAGAGGCTGTGTCACAGGACACCACAGACACCTACTACATAAGGCCATTCCACCAAGCCCAGGAGATTTTGAAGCTTTACATAATACATAGAAACAAACAGAATTGAGCTGCCTAGATGAGGAGACAACAAAACATGTCCCAAATGAAAGAACAGAACAAAACTCCAGAAAAATAACTAAACAAAATGTTGACATTCAATGTACTAGATGCAGAGTTCAAAACATTGGTTATAAGGATGCTCAATGAACTTAGGGAAAGAGTAGATGAACTTTGTGAGAACTTCAACAATTAGATAGGAAACAAAAACAGATAGAAAACATAAAAAAGAACCAGTCAGAAATGACAAATACACTAACTAAAACAAAGAATATATTACAGATAATCAACAATGAAGTAGATGAAGCAGAGTATCAAATCAGAGATTTAGGAGGTAAGGAAGCAGAAAATACTCAATCTGAACAGCAAAAAGAAAAAAAATAATTTAAAAAATGAGTATAGTGTAAGGCCTCTGGGACGTCAAGTGTAGCAACATTCACATCATGGGGGTGCCAGAAGAAGAAGAGAGAGAACAAGAAATTAAAAACCTATGTGAAAAAATAATGATGGAAAACTTCTCTAATATGGTGAAGGAAACAGACATACAAGACCAGGAAGCACAAAGAATCCTCCAAAAAATTAATCCAAAGAGACCCACAACAAAATACATCATAATTAAAATGTCAAAGAGAGAATCTTAAAAGCAGCAAGAAAAAAGAAGTTAGTAATCTATAAGGGAGCTCCATATGACTGTTAGCTGATTTCTCAACGGAAATTTTACAGAGCAGTAGGGATTGGCAAGAAATATTCAAAATGATGAAAAGCAAGGACCTACAACCAAGATTACTCAGCAAAGTTATCATTTAAAATCAAAGAACAGATAAATAGTTTCCCATACAAGAAAAAGCTAAAGGAGTTTATTATCACTAAACCAGCAATACAAAAATGTTAAAGGGTCTTTTGTAAGAAGAATAAGGAAACAAAAGATCAAAAAAATAAATAATAAAATGGCAATAAATACATATCTATCAACAATCACTTTGTTTTATTTTATCTTTTTATTGTTTAAAGTATTACAAATAGTAGTACATATGTCTCCTTTTTCCCCCATTGACTTCCCCTGGCCTCCCCAACCCCACCCCCGACATCAACAATCACTTTAAATGTAAATGCATTAAATGCTCTAATCAAAAATAAATAGGGTAGCTGAATGCAGAAGAAAATAAGATTCATATATATGTTGTCTCTAGAAGAGGCCCATTTCAGTTGAAAAGATACACACAGACTGAAAATAAAGAATTGGAAAAAAATATATTTCACACAAAAGGAATTAAAATCTGGAGAAGCAATATTTATTTAAAATTGACTTTAAACAAATGTTATAAGAATAGAAAAGAACCTTGATAATGACAAATGGATCAATCCAACAAGAGGATATAATCCTTGCAACACTTACACACTCAATAAAGGAGCACCTAAATATATAAAACAAATATTGATGGATATAAAAGGAGAGAGATCGGCAATAATACAGTAATTGTAGGGAACTTTAACAATCCATTGACATCAACAAGAAAACAGTGGCTTTAAATTACACATTAGACCAGATGGATTTAATTGGTATTTTAGAGCATTTCATCCCAAAGCAGTCAAATATACAATCTTTTCAAGTGCACATGGAACATTTTCCAATACAGACTGCATGTTAGATCACAAAAAGTCTCAATAAATTTAAGAAGATTGAAATCATATCAAGCATCTTCTATGACCACAGTGTTATGAAACTAGAAATCAATTGCAAGAAGAAAGCTGAAAAACATACAAACAGCCTTGTTGGGTGGCTCAGTTGGTTCAGTGTCATCTCATGCACCAAAAAGGTTGTGGATTAGAGTCCCCATCAGAGCACATACCCAGATTGTGGGTTCAATCCCCATCGGGATGTGTACAGGAGGCAACCTATTGATGTTTCTCTGGCACATCAATGTCTCTCTCTCTCTCTCTCTCTCTCTCTCTCTCTCTCTCTTTCTCTTTCTCTCTTTCTCAAATCAATTACACACACACACAAGTGAAATAACATGTTACTAAAAAATGAATGGGTTAACAATGATATCAAGGAAGAAATCAAAAGATACCTTTAGACAGTTGAAAATGAAAAGACAATAACCCTAAATCTATGGACACAGCCACAACCAGTTCTAAGAGGAAAATTCATAACAATACAGCCCCACCTCAAAAAAAAAAAAAAGAAAAATCTCAAACAATCTAAACTTACATCTAAATGAGCTAGAAAAATGACAACAAAGCCCAAAGTTAGTAAAAAGAAGACAATAATAGACATCAAAGCAGAAATAAATGAGTCTAAAAGAAGTAAATGATACAAAAGATCAATGAAACTAAGAACTGTTTCTTTGAAAAGAGAAACCAAATTGATAAACCTTTAACCAGACTCATCAAGAAGAAAAGAGAGAGGTCCCTTATAAATAAAATCAGAAATAAAAGAAGTGACAGCTGACACTACAGAAATACAAAGGATTATAAGAAGCTACTAGAACAATTACATGCCAACAAATTGAACAATTGGAAGAAATGGACAAATTCCTAAAAACATACAATCTTCCAAGACTGAGTCAAGAAGAAACAGAAAATCTTAACAGACCAATAACTGCAAATGGATGCAAATCAGTAATTTTAAAAATCCCGACAAACAAAAACCCTTGCCTGGATGGCTTCACAAGTGAATTTTACCAAACATTCAAAACTAAACTAACACATATCCTTTTTAAACTATTCTAAAAAATTCAAGAGAAAGAAAGGCCTCCAAGCTCTATTTACAAGGCCGTAGTCATCTCAATTCTAAAATCAGACAAAGACATTACAAAAAAATTATAGGCCAATATCCCTGATGAACAAAGATACAAAATTCCTCAACAAAATATTAGCAAACCAAATTCAGTAATACATTAAAAATATCATCCAGCATGATCAAGTGGTATTTATTCGTGGAATGCAAAGTTGGTACAATATCTATAAACCAATAAATGTAATATACCACTTAGACCAATGAAGGATAAAAATCATATGATCATATCAATAATTCAACAAAAGCATTTGACTAAATCTAGCACCCATGTCTGATAAAAATTCTCAGTAAACTGGGAATAGAGGAAATATACCTCAACATAATAAAGGCCATATATGGCAAACCCAGAGCTAACATCACACTCACTGTGGAAAAACTAAAAGTGTTTCCCTCAAGATCAAGAACAAGACAGGAATGTCCACTTTCCCACTCTTAGTCAACATAGTATTGGAAGTCCTAACCAGAGCAATCAGGCAAGAAGAAATAAAAGGCATCCAATTGGGAAAAAAAGAAGTAAAACTGTTCTTATTTTGCAGATGACATAATACTGTCTATAGAGAACCCTAAAGATTCCATCAAAAAACTACTAGAACTAATAAATGAACTCAATAAAGTAGAAGAATACAAATAAATATTCAAAATTCATTTGCATTTTTACACATCAGTAATGAGCTACCAGAAAAGGGAAATAAGAAAACAATCTTATTTACAATTGCATTTTAAAAATACCTAGAAATAAATTTAACGAAGGGAGTAAAAGACCTATACTTAGAAAATTATAAAGATACTGAAGAAGCTGAAGAGGATGCAAACAAATGGAAGTATGTATGTACCATGCTTATGGATGGAAAGAATTAACATCATTAAAATGTCCATACTACCCAAAGCAATCTATAGATTCAATACAATTCCTACCAAAATATCAATAAAGTATTTCACATAACTAAAAAAAATAATCCAAAAATGTATATGAAACCAGAAAAGGCCCTGAATAGCCACAGAAATCTTGGGAGGGGGAAAAAGAACAAATATGGAGGTATCATGCATTGTTGGTGGGAATGCAGATTGGTGCAAGCACTATGGAAAACAGTATGGAGGTTACTCAAAAAATTAAAAATGGAACTGTCCTATCACCCAGTGATTTAATTTCTGGGAATATATCCAAAGAAACCCAAAACACTAATTTGAAAGAATATATGCATCTCTATATTCATTGCAGTTTTATTTACAATAGCCAAGATATGGAAGCAACCCAAATGCCCATCAATAGATGAGTGGGGGGAAAGACATGCTACATATGTACAAATTAATATACTGAGTCATAAAAAAGAAATTTTACCATTTGCAACAATAGGGATGGACCTAGAGGGTATTAATGAAATAAGTCAGAGAGAGAAGGACAAATAGCATATGATTTCATTTATATGTGGAATTTAAAGAATAAAATAAATGAACAAACAAAACAAGAGACTCATATATTTAGATAATAAACTAAGGGTTGCCAGATGGGTGGAGTTGGGGAGAATAAGTAAAAAGTGAAGGGATGAAGAAGTATGAATTGGTAGTTACAAAATAGTCAGAGATGTAAATTTCAGCATAGGGAATACAGTAAAAAATACTGTAATAACTATGTATGGTGTCAGGTGGGTACTGGAAATAGGAGGAACACTGTAAATATATGTTCATCTAACTATTATGATGTATACCTGAAACTAATATAAAGTAATATTAAATATAAACTAATTGGAAAATAAAAAATTTTAAAAGAAAAAAGAAAGATGGTGATCTGCTAAAACTGAAAGTAGGAAAAGAGGTGTTGAAATTTTTAAAAGAAAGAAAGGTGTGAAATAGTCATCTAAGCAAGTGGGTGAGTTAATGGACTAGCTAGAGAAAGTCTGTTTGCTTTGTAGCATTAGATTTAAAGTTATAGCATTTAATTTGGTTGTGTGTTTTATTTTTTGCATCATTTATGTTCAATGGGACCAGTACAAGTGGAGAGAAACAGAAATTTAGATTTAACTATAGTTTCACCAAGTCAACTACAGTGAAACCCAAGGACAAATTTGTCAAGGAAATAGACAAGAGAATGATTTATCAATTGCCTGTGGAATTTAAGTGATTAAGGAGGAGAATGATTATATCATGGGAGTGAGGGACACTGAAATGTTGGGAAGATCAATGGGTTGGAGGTCACAGGAGGATAGAAGCATTATATATTTGGTCTGATGATACCTTAATGCATTGCCAACTTGTTTATGTTTTTAAAATGTCTAGGATTTATCCAGTATTTTTAGTTGAGTTGTTGCTCCAAATGATCCTAATCATAGTATTACCAGAAATAGAATCTCTTCTAACTTTTAAAATTGAATTTATTTATTGTCTTCCCTCAAACATTCATCCAAGTACAAAGCCTGGTAACTTTGCTCTACCATTTTCTCCCATTTCCACAACCTAATTCAGGTATTCAGTAGCTCATACCTGGATTATTGCCACAACTTCTCACTAGCTAAAGAATAAAGGTTTTTCCTCAAATATTAGTTTGCTTATGGGTTGCATATAGATAACCAAACATTGAGGAATCAAGTTATTTGCTATCTCCAATCCCCCAAATCCAGTAGGGAACATAATCATTTTCAAATATTAAATTTCCCTTACAGGCATTCTCATGTCTTTAATATTTTGCATTTTGTGTTTGTCCATGGTATCCTTCATCAAAATTCATCAAATTTGATATAACCTAATTCATCAATATTTGCCTTAAACTTTGTTGCTTTGAAGTTTTATTTAAATAATTATTCCCCATCTCTAGAGCACAGGTATTCTCCTATGCTTTCATCTGTTAACTACATATATAGTTTTACCTTTCCCATCTAGAGTTTACTTTTGAATATTTTGTTAGTTAGCCATCCAGTTTACTTTTCTGCCTATGGTAAACAAGATTTCCCAACAACTTCTAAATAATTCACCCTTTTCCCCCCTCAACTTGAGGTGTCTTCTTTATTGTAAATTAAGTATGTGCATATACATTCCAATCAAAATACCAGTTGTATTTTCCATGTACCAGGAAGACTCATTGTTTACAAATAAGTCAAATGTAAGAAAAATAAAGAGTGTGAGGGGGAAGGTGATTCTTGCTTGTTCTATAAGATGTTGAGAAATTAGCCCAAGAACAAAAAAAAACGAACAGAATGGAATAGCAAACACAACTGGTATTTTGATTGGAATGTTATTTATAGATTAATTTAAATGTATAGATTAATTTAGGGAATATGTGGCCTTTTCACATATTAAGTTATCCCAATCAGAAGCAAGCAATGTCTGTTTATAAAGATCATTATTTATGTTCTTTATTACAGCCTTAAATTTTTCCACATAATTGT